ACTATTATATGCAGAAGATAGTCTATATTCAGTAAGTTTTCCCTGATTTCATAGGGCTAGCCAAATTTTTTTAAGTATCTTTCCAAAATAATTTCACAGTATGAATTGAATAAATATTGGAAGAAACGATTCTTCCCTTCAGCACTACCTCAGATCATTTAGTAGAAGTACCCTTTCATCTCCACAAGAGCTGGGACAGGGAGGCAGACGGGGGCACCTAGGCTTTTATGGTCAGCATGGTAGTCACAGCTGCCTTGACTTCCCAAGGTGACCACTTCTGATGATGACTGAGATCTGTGCTGTGCTGGATGTTCCCAGATTTGCTGCAGTTATTGTCTGCAGTTCAGGAACTGCAGCCGTTTGTACTTTTTCAGAGTGAGGGGAGCTGGGATTTACTGATGGGAAAGGACTTGCTCCAGGCCGGAGCGCAAATGTTGCCATTGCCTATGTTACCCCTGGCCCCATCTGTCCATTTTTACTTACTAACTCTATGCCTGTCCCCTGCTGCAGGATGCAATTCATTCCATGGCTGAAATTCAGCCAAGAGACTGTGGCTAACACTCCCACCCCATTTTTTATGCAAACTTGATTTATGACTTTGATCTTATTTTAAATAATTTAAAAATTAAATAATTTATACAGTATCGGTCACTTTCCAAGGCTTCTTCCTTTGTTCTTGCTTTGCTCTTCTGCATTTTCCCATTTTCCCAACCCTTTTCAATCTGTGCACGTTTCCTTTTCTGCATGGTGGGGCAGCAGTGACATGAGACAGCCGCTAACTACTTGCCACTTTCTTCAAAGAAAGAAGACCTGCAAGAACTTTTGACATTGTTGTTTATTTGGACCAGGACTATACTACCACCATTCATGGTCTGTTTTGATTTTTACTGATCATGACTTTGGGCTTGGTCACCCCACCGCCTACCAGGGTCTAAGAAGGTGTGCTGTGCTGCTCTGGGCAGGAGTGTGTCTCTGCATGTTCATTCACTGGCAGCAAATCAAAGGTAGTGCCTCCTAGCATCAGCTTCCTTCTCTCCAGGCTGAGTTCAGACCTATACCTCAAGTTGGCCTTAACTAAGACTGTGGAAACAGCTATCAATACCCAGCTGTTGTGGATCCACAGTACAACAAAAAGGGCTGGTGCCCTATATATGTGAACTAAAATAAATAATTACCCCATGAAAGGGGAACCTAAATGAATATGGGAAGATATTACTGAAAAGAAAAAACCCTGAAACAAGTTAGTATAGGGGCTCTGGGAGCTTTAGGGAGCCATGAAACCTGCTTTGTCTTGAGCTGCATACAAAAGAGGTGAAGTGGATCTGATATGATTTCTGTGTCACTGAAACAGCACACAGTTAGTGCCAAGCTTTGCCTGGTCTGCTTGCAGGTGGTACATAAGGAGGGGAAGCAAAAAACACACACAGAGGAGAAACTCCTTTGCTTCCTGATTTTTTTGCCTCTGGAGCTGAGGCCATATGGCTGCTGAAACCAAGGACTAGTTGCTTAGCTGATGTGAGGCTGTTGCTGCTACCAGGGTTAAAGTTGCTTAAGCTGAGGTTGAGTGGCTTAGCAGCGGGCAGCAGCAGGGGGTAACCTGTGACATGGCCATTTGCTGAGCTGCAAAGGAAGTAACTTAAAGAGGATCTGGGGCCCAAAGCAGTCCTGGTGGCAACACTAGTGGCTATCAGTCAAAAACTTATGGACTGAGACCCTCGCCGCCTCTCCCCAGTGGGGTGCTGCTTGGTCTGTGAATCCACAGCTACCCACTAATCCCTCAAAACAGCTGCACCATGTGGGTTTCTGTTGCACTGGCCACCTTCATACAGGGACACCTTTTTGCAGGAGCTAATGCAGTCCTGGTGATGTGCATGATTCCTCTCTGGGTGAGATTCAGCAAGAAACCGCTGCCTAGGGGCCTTGGCAACCTCCTCCATGGGGACAGACCATTAGAAAGTATTGATTAACCAGCTCTCATGGGATTGCTTGGGAACTCTTACATGGAGACATCAGTCAAGCGTGGACTGCAGTGGGATAGCTGGGAGAACAGGTTACTAGTACAAATCAGAGCACCTAGTATCTCATGCTAGTCCTGTCCTTAATACTAAGCACTGAGGCAGTTCTTAAATTTGTGTTACCACCATGCCCCTGTGTGAAAACCCATAGAGAGACAGCACATGAAAGAGCCGTGTCCCTGCGGGAGAAGGGAAAATAAATAGATCTGATCATCAGCTTTATTTGTACATGGGGAAATGAGACCAGGTGGTCAAATGATTCACCCAAAGTCACACGAGTTGCTGGTGGCAGTGGCATCAGCTGTCAAAGCTGTCCTGCTTTTGCGTTTTCACTGTTTCACCTTCCCTCCTCTTGACTTGCCTTAGCTCTTCAACTTCATGTCGGGCTGAATAAAACTGCCCCCCCTTTCCCTCTCCCCCTATCGATCCCTCCATCTCCTGCTCACATTTACGAGGTGCCAATCACCCTGATATCTAAAAGCCAGCAGTCCGAGGTGGATTAATCAGGACCGAGGGAACGTCACGCAGCCTCTGCGCTCCCTTCCTTCCCTTTTGTGTGAGACTGTGAGATGAAGCAGATAGGGAGAGACACAGATAGGGCCGCTGATTGAGAGACAGCATCTGAGCATGCTCTGGGTGTACAGGCGCCACATGGAAATGTGATCCCATCATTTAGACAGCTCTGAAGTCCCCAGGGTAATTGGTGTCACCAGCTTGTCATATCCAATGGGTCAAGATCTAAAACTTATTCTTTTCCCCTTATTAGCATATTTACTAGGAAAAAAAAGAGAATGGGTCCAATTCTGCTTTCACAGAAATCAACAGGAAAAATATTCATTGGTTTCAAGTGGAGCAGGAGCAGACTCAGGAATTGTTTTCACTCTTCCTTCAGCAATATATCCTCACTCAAGCACCTACCCTCATAATGTCCTGTATTATCTGGTGAGAAATAGATAGAGGGAACTTTTGTGGTGTAAAGGTGCAGACTGCATCCTCTTTTATATAAGTATAAACCTAGGCTGGCAATTAGAAGAATTACTCTAGATTAAAAATTATGCAAGAAGAGTTTTTGGACCAAAGCATCAGGATGGTGTGTCTTTACCACCTCTCCAGCTGCCTGAAAAATGCCTGTAGCATAATACTGGAGCCACATCTCCTGCCTGACAGCCTCCGCAGACGTTTGTCCCAGCTGGCCATGGGTTTCCTCCTGTTAATTCCTCTAGTACACGGGGGCACAGACACTGCATCCTGCTGCCAGGCTGCTGGCCACTGACCTGGGCTCAGCTGTGATTTACTGTCTCTTTTCCTCTCCTGCAGCTTTCCCTGGCCAGGAGGACAGTTAAACACAGACAGACAGGGGAGGGGACAGCTCTTCTATCATGTGAGGAGGGGAGCAGGGAACAAAGGAAGAGACAAAGATTGTCTTTGACTGGGAATAAAAATGAAGAGGGCAAAATGGAAGGAAAAATGGAATTTGGCTAGTGGAGTGAGAATAAAAAAAGTCCAGAGCAGCAACAGGGTGTGCAGCTGGGAGGAGAGGGGGAACTTCTGTGGAGCTCTTCAGCACGTCCTCATGACTCTACCATAGCTCCTGCAAGGTTTAGGCAGCGTTTTACCAAGTGTTCAATGAGGCACAGGACACTCAGTAGAGGACAGAAATTTCTAGGCCCTCAAGCTGAAACAAGAACATGTGGATGTGATGGGAAATCCATGGTGCCAATGCATGAGAAGGAAATAGTGAGGGAAGAAAGCAGAGCCTAGCAGTCAGTGTGCTGGAGGGAGTACGGGTACGCTGGACTCTGATTCCTGAGTTGAACCTGTGTTACTTAAGGCAAGGCATTTGGGCTCTCTCATTCAGGAAGATGTTACTCTGGAAAATGGGATTAATGTTACTTCCCTCCCGTAGACAAATCTAGCACAGCGTATACGAGGGCCACATTTTACCACTAAACGAATGAAGCACCTAGATGCACTGTCACTGCCTGCAAATGTTCCTGTTTCGTCTGCTCCAGAGAATGCAGCCAAAGTCACCTGGTAGTATTGTGTCTGCCTGCTGCAGTATCTCCTCTACCTTCCTCTGAAATATCTGGCAGAGACCAAGGTACCTGAACCTGATCTTGTCTTGCAGGTCCTTGTTAATTGTAGCCTGAGGAAAGTAGTTTTGCCAGAGGCATCCATTTCAAGGCTTGGTCAGGAGCCCTGCTCCCTGTACAGTCATACTGTCTCATGGGCCCAGGGTCCAGGTTTGGTGTATAAGTAAGATGCCTGAAGTTAGACACTGCAACACTACTTTAAATAGCTGGTACTTTTCCCCAGTGTGCTTAAATCATACTGTTTTGGGGAGCCAGGACTGTATGTGTGCATATGTCTGCTTGTCCATTTTAGTATTTTGTAGCATGTTTTCATGAATCTAAAAGCACTTCTCTCTACAGCTGCCATTTTATCCTGTGGTCCCTCCAAAGGTACTCACAATGATGCATGGTGTAGCAGGGGCCTGGCCAAATGGAGCAAAGAGCCATCTCCCTCATTCAGCTCAGTCTGCATGGCCTGGCAGCAGAGATGGCCAGAAAGGTATTTGTGACCTCACAAGCCTTTGGTACCAGGTGGTGCTGACATGGGACAGAGAACTAGGATAAGCTGAATTAAGGACTATTTTATGCAAATCCTCAAAGGCTAGTTGTGTTTGTATTTGACAGGAATGGCTTAGACCCCACAGGTAGTGTCTTGCATGGGTGCATACATGATCATAGTTTGGTTACTGCTAGAAGCAAGTATTGCACCTCTGAGGCTTGCCTGGGAGATGCCCTCACCTACCCCTGATGGCATGGCTCAGTTTGCTCCCACAGTGTTAACTGATTTAATGGAGAAATCACTGGTTCCTTCTCTGCTCTTGTCATTTGTTCCTCTGCTCACATGTGCTTTTCTGTCATTCTAGGTGCTATCCTCATTCCTGTGAACATACATAGAGCCAGTGTCTATACTTACTGCCTGTGCATAGGCGCCATATGCTCCAAACTGGATGGCCATGGGGTTGAACATGCCCATTTGTCCTGCCATTTGCTGCATGCGTCTCATTGTACGCTCCTTGTCTGTATCTGCAAACTTCACCACCAGGCTTGAAGAGGCTCCCTGAAGGATATGAAACAAAAGGAGACACATGAGGGAATTAGCCAGGTCCACACTGGCTCATGCAATCCATACATCCAACACAGATTTGGTAGCATGGGATCCAGCTGACACTGATTTTTCCCATGCAACCTCTCAGGCCTTTTGATTGGACCTTTGCAAGAGGCTGAGAGGGTCAGGAAGGCATGCAAGGACCCTGGAGGGTGAATGACTGAGGCCAACAGCCTGGTTCCTAGTTTCTTCCAAAATTCAAACTTCCAGGCTGTCATTAGTGTTCTCTCTGCAAAAGTTGTTGCCTTATTCTTTCAACATATAGACAACCTTCCGGCCCAGCAGGTTGTCCTCATCAGAGGACAGAGGTCTGGACTCAGTGCAGCAAAATGTAGGAGCTTTTTCTGCATTAATGTGGTGATTTGTGAATGTGCAGGATTTGTGAACTGATTTATTTTTATGGAATGTGTTAGCTCTGTGCATGCCAGACTCCCTGAATCACCCTTTCACACTGCCTTGCCTTGTAACCCCCATGTCCAGTGAGAAATCCATGCCCAGCCTTGGATTCAGAGACAGGATTCCGTATGGTGAGCAGAGTGTATGTCTCATGATGAAGCAGCATCTCTTCAGTACTGTTAAACTAAGGGAGCAAAACCAGTACTTGATGGATCTGAGTTTCCTCTTCATGAAGAAAACAGGAAGTAGGAAATAGAGGCTACCACAAAAAAGCTCACTTTTAACATTACACTTTTCTAGGAAAGCTTTACAACGTTTGGGTCATGTCTGCAGTCAACACCAGTGCAGAACTACAGATGATCATCAGAGCTGGCTGCAGAAGTCTATGAAAAATGCAGAGCTTTTGGGAATGAAAGAAATCCCTCTCCTCCCTAAAGTGAGATGGAAAGTCAGTAACTGCTATTCTTAAATTTCTGACAGGGGGGCAGAGATGGAAAGAGATAGATCTGCTTAGGAAGGAAGGCACTGATATTTTTTTGACTGGTTCCAAGGACGTCCTAACTTCATGGGCTGGTTTATTCCCCACAGTGTGGTCTCCCCAGGGGAAGAAGGGCGCAGGGGAGGGGGTTTCTGGCAGCAGCCCCGATAGCTGGCAGATAGTTTCCTTGGGAGCTGGGCTGCCACCGAGCCTGGGGAGATGGGCAGGTGATCTGTCAGGAGACTGACAAAGAACAGCTGAAATCATCTCACTCCCATGGTACGCTTCCCTTTTGACACACTGGTATTCGCTGATGGAAATACAGTCAGTGGGGAAATTGCCAGCTCAGCCTCTGGCTGCAGCAGTAGAGGAAGACCAGCTCTGTGCCAGAGGAGCTGGGCTGTTGTGGGGCCCTTGTTTTTCTAGCAGAGATGGGATTGCCTGGGATTGCTCAGGGGGAGTGTTATTAACTGGCTTACACACACCCCTATGTACCTGTAATGAGAAAAAAATAGTCTCAGTGAAAGCAGAGTTGCTCTGCTACAGATTGGGAATAGTGTAGTAAACCACAACTATGGACATACATATATAAGTCCAAGCTATGCATATTCAATAGCCTCTCCAGATCCTCAGTTATGAATAAAGACTTGAGGAATTAACATGCTAACTACCGCCCCCCCCCCTCAACATCTAAGGCCACACAATGAGCGATATTCCCCTGGATTAGCAGCCTGTTCTGAAGGAAGTGATTTTCATTGGCAAAGAATCTTTCTTTTTGACCTGTTGGTCTCTTTCTAATAAAACTATAACCCATTCAAACAATGTGGTGAAAAGCAAGGTGTTGAAAGAAGTGCTTCAGGAAAACAAAAGGATGGAGAGATGAACGCTTTTTTCAAGGGTGGAGAGCAGTCCTCAGAAATTATTATGAGCGGAAAACAGAAAGGGGGGGAGGGGGAGAGAAAAATCTAGCCAAAATTCCCCTGCATTTCTTCTCAAGGCTGGGTGACTGTTCATTTTTTTAAATCACATGATGTAGTTATTGATCCTTCCCCAAATCACAGTCTTAATTGAAGCTCATCGACAAATGAATATTTTAATGCATACATTTCCTGCTAATTATCACCTGGACCAGTCCTTAATTAGATTTCAACACTCATTTAATTAACCCTGATTCAAGAGACTGTTTGGTAACCTGCATCTAATGATTTAAACCTATTTGCAGCTGTGTTGGAGAGAGGCAGTGGTCCACAGCAGATTGGGCTGTTCAGAGCTGCTGTTGTGATTTGCAGAGCACAGGCTGCAGCATGGTGGGTACAATGCAGGATAGAGGACTTTGAAACTGAATAAGGTGAATAAGTATTCATCTCTGCAAATGGGTTTTGAAGATGTGACCTGCTCTAGTTAGCAGGACAGAAAAGTGTAAATAAGTTGGTGTCTTCCTCCTTCCTCTTTTCTTTCTATCTCTATTTTCCCTGGAAGTCTTAGGGCCAGACAACTGTCTCAGGAAACTTCTGATGCCTCACAATGTTGAAAACCAAACTATTATTGCAGATGCCATCATGAAAATGTGGGTAACCTCTACATGAAGTTCTTGCCCCTGGAGTGTTCTTCCCTCCTGATGTGAGTTGTAGTGACTGCACAGCAGCTGTTTGACCCAATGGGATCCAAGATTAACTCTTACAAGATATTTTTCTGGGTTGCTTTGTCTCAGCAGAACTTCGGGCCTCTTTGAACATCACTGTAATATACACAGGGCAGAAAGGCCATTGGCAAATAGAAGCAAATAAGAGTACACACTACAAAGAAAGGGGAGAAAAAGGAGGGTTTTTTAAGAGTGCTCTGCAAGGGGATGCGCATGTAAGTGGTTAAAGATATGTAGACAGTAGGGATGCTGCATTGATCTTAAGTATGAAGATTGACCTTGGGATTGATGCTTTCTGTGTGTGGTTCCTCATGCGCAGCTCTTTCACGTGGTCCAAAGGAAATCAGGCAGTAAACTCTTATCAGATCACACAGTGCAGGATTTTTAGCAGAGGAGCCAAACAGTGCTGTTCATCTAGTGCAGCACAAGACTACTTTCTACTCCAGTGACTCCTGCTAATCCACTGGATAACATTAGAAATGATCCAGAATGGGCCAGATTTTCCATCGGGTAAAAACTGCAGAGCACTTTATCTGGACTATTTATTGCTGCCACAAGCAGTTAAACCATGGTGTAAATCAGCCATTGTCTGCTGACAAAGGCAATAGGTCCTGTCTGCTCAGTCATTTATTAGTAATACATAATCTCCCTCTTGCTCTCTCTGGTTGTTGGACTGGACCTCATATTTCGCCAGCCCCCAAGAGAGTTACAGTGGGTAAGTCAATAATGTTTGAAATGTGCCTTGAGGTCTGTGTGTTAATTCTGCATTTTACTGAGGGCTTACCTGTTTATTTCTCTACCCTGCAGAACCACAGTCAAAAGAGACTATCATGAAAGTGAGAATGCCTGCTGGTGCCTCTGCAATAGGCTACTTGGAATTGGCATTTATCTCCTTTTCCATTAAATCAACCTCCTTTTTCAAGTGCTTTGATATCTACTGATGAAAAGAATAATACAAGGGCTAAGTATTATGATGCTTTCCCTATTCTCTCTTGGGCCAGCAAGTCTACTTAATATGACTATCTTGCTTCCCGTCCCCTTCCTGTGTGTGGTAATGAATTGCTCCCCTTAGTCAGCAGAGTCAGATGCTCTCTAGGCTGGCAGGGCGATGGAAATGATGGAGGAAAAATCACTCTGCACCACACTCACTTTGTAATCCCTAATCAGAGTCCTCTGTGGGAAAAACTAATTTCCCAGCCTGTCTTGACGTGTGAAATAAAGTCATTCTTGAAAACAGGAGCTTGACAGGTCGCTTGTGAAATTTCATATTCAACTAAAAATAAAATATCCATCCATTGATATTTCATTTAAAGGCAGAGGAAAACAAATATTTTGCCTGGTTGTTGGGACTGTTTCCCATTAGTTATGGCCTTCTAAATGGAGTGTATATAAAAATTAAGCAAAACCTTTTCAGGAGACCAAATAATATGGCATGGCATTAGGGAAAGTTGCTTCTTCTTAGAACAATATTCATAGGAAAAGTTCTGTGAAGATGTTTCTTTGCAGAATATATGCCTGAATTTTCTTTTTCTGTCAGCCCTATAAGTCTACCCTGACTCAGCAGGTTACCAATCTCTACAGATGGTTAGATATCTTTTTCTTCCAAAACTGATGAATATGGGCCTAATTGACCAAAGCCATTAAATCATGTTTCACTTTAAGCTTAAGTGAATGTCCTGTTGGAGGTAAGCATACACTTAAGTACCCTACTGCAAGGGTGTCTCTCTCATACAGGTGAACTTTTATGTCTTGGTTAACTCAAATAGAGCCAGTTAAAAGTCCTGGGCCAAAAATATGAAAAAAAGGCTTGTTACATTAAAGTTCCAGTGACTAAAGCTCTTGAGTATAAGAGATCTGAATGTGCAGATCCTACTAAGTACCTTCCAAAATGTCAGCTGTGCACACCAGCTAAGAAGCTTAAATGAATAAGTGCTGCCAGATACTTCTCATCTAGGCAAGCAGACTACCTTCCTAAGTGTCACCATGTGAATGGGGTTGCTTGTGTTGGAAATATTGCCTTAGCCCTCCCTTTGCAACTGCAAAGCAGAGCTGGGAGGATGCTGACCTTCAGCAAACCACTCAGGGTAATATTTCCACGTGAGGATCCTTGATGTTAGGGCCCAAAAGCCAAAGGGCAATTTCTTTGCTCTGGCCTCTGTCAGATCAGGCCATTTGGTATGATGCCTCCTAAGTTTGAAAACAAAACCAATTTTTTTTTTGGAGATGCCTGTGTAGTTCTACTGAAAATAGGGCTGCTGAATTAGCCAGTGGGGGCTTGACCCCAAGGTGGGATTTTAGACAAGCAAAGTGAAACTACAGTCCAATTAAAACTGTAGAGCAGAGGGAATTTTAGCTAGGTAGAAATGTAATTACCCATGCTGGAAGATGGCCAGAAGACCAGGACTAACAGCCCTCCCTTCTTGTGAAAAATGTTAT